TTTACAAAAAAGCGTGTTTATTACGAAAGTGAATGTTCACGAGGGTTTATTCATATGGAAATGGTCATCCTGAAAGCTCAGTCAGGTTGATCCTATTGAATGGCAAAGTATTGAGTGGTGCGTAGGCTACGCGTAAATCCTGCATACCACTGAATGAAGCCGTGTCTAACACTAACTTTGAATGGTTACGCATGTGCATGTGTGGTTTTTTATCCGCAGCATCGTCTTGGTACTTCTGTTTTGATGCTTATTATACTACCTCTTGCGTGTTCCTGTGAAAGTGGCCACAATAAAAACCAGATCACCGAGGATTACCGCAATATCATTAGGATACAGCTGAAGCACGTTGTAAGTATCACAATTACATGTTTGCCACCAGGTGACTGGATTCTAATAACTAATATAATATCTAATATTGGCCTATTCTCACTTGTGTGTATATACACTTTTTTTTTTTTTTTTAATGTCTATTAAATTTACAATAAAATGGGCAGGAGTTATCTGTAAAAAATATGGTTATGTTCCAGGCATGATTATATATGGTTAATAAAATAGGCCACATGATAGATGATAGATAGACAAACTAACTTTTTTTATGAACCACGGCTAATAAACATATATTATCCACAAAATAAAATGTTTTAAACATTAACAAAAAAAATAAAATGTAACAACAAAATTTGATTTGTACTTTTCAGGAGGCCATTATTGAACAACTAAATTCAAACTGCACAATAAGAAATGTCAGCATGTCGAAGGAGCCAAAAAATGTAAGAAAATGACTACTTATCCATTAAACAAGTTCCATCTGTTCAAGCGTTTACGCATATGTTAGTCATGTTTCTCTCTTGAACTGAAAGAGCAAAAGTAGTTTCTAAGATGTGGTTAGTAAATGTTCTGACCTGCCAGAGCGTATACATATGAAGTTCAGGGAAAGCTGGGTGCTGTACACAGCACATAGACACAGATGCAACTTGTTAGTTTAACAACCCTATTTGAAGACACAAGTTTCTCCTCCATTCTTGTCACTCATCTGCTGGTTTGTTTCTGATGTTCTCACAGGCACAACAGTCCATCCACAGAAAAATCTGCAGGGTTAACGGAAAACTGAGGAGAATCGGGAGGGAATCAGAGAATGTAAATGGACAACTAAAAGATGTTTTATATAAACTTGTGGAAGAAATAAATGTGTCCTTGAGATGTTGGTGCCACCTGAAGGTAACCGAAACAACCCGTTTCTGCACATTCAGTTTTCTTTTACATCGTTTTCATTTATTTAAACCTCCTTTTTGTTTCATTTGTGGATGAACAGAGGGAGGGGACAAAAAAGCCAAAACGGCAAATACGAAAGTGGAAGATTTGCAGAGTGAAACACATTCTTGCCAACTTACAGAGACAATTTGAGCAATACAATGCATATCTGTCCCTCAGCACAGACCTTCCAGAGCGTGGGAAGACTTCAGAGCAAACCGGTATATAATACTTGGCCTCCATCCATCTCTATTACAACGAATGAATGTACAGAATATGAAGTAACTGGACTAACCATGTGCCTTTCACACTATTCAGTATTTGTCTGAAGACAAACAATGCTTTTTATGGGAAAATATATGCTAAGCATAAACATGAAATATACTACTATGCATGAAAATGTTTCAAAACTTTGTACTTTGTATTGTTATCTTTGCTATTGATTGCTGAATGAGTACAGAGGGTGCGCAAATGAAACTTACAGAGTTTAACTGTACATTGCTGTAAGTGACACAAAGTTGGCTTCAAAGCCTATATTATATTAATTCTCTAGGCCTCAAGTTAGAACTTTATAGTCTACACATGCTTCTTATTTGGGGAAGCGACCCTATTCAGCCCACCCAATTCCAAGTCTTGTAAGTTTTTTCAATTCATTCAAAGAAAGCCGAAGATTGAAACACTTGTTTTTTCAAACAAAATTTATTTAATTGCAAACCTCTGGAATGGGCATATAAGTACACATATATAATTTCAGCACCTATTTAACAATAACCAAACAACTTTTTATATGGCTGTTTCTTTAGAAACCCTGTTTTTAAGAAAGTCAGCAGAATTCTCTTTTCTTTGGTTGATCATCTATCAGGACCCACTTTTTCACTGTTAAGTTTCAGGTTTTTCTTTTCAACTCCATTTTTTTTGTTGTTGTTTTGACAAAGCAGCACGTTTATGAACCTTCCCTTATTTTTAGGCCAGTATTTCCAGTTCGTGGAGGCATAACAACTGTAGCAATTGTTGGGCCCAATATAAAACTTTCAATACGGGTCCCCCAGTAATCTGGATCACATTCCGTCCCCCTTTTGCAGTAGCAAGTCTTGCCTTTTTATTTAATTTTTTTTTTACCCAGCATACAATGACAAATATTGTAAGTAGATAAAGTTAATGAACTGGATGTGCTCCAAACGCAGTGAATTTAGTTAATGCTTTTTATATGTGGTTCCTAGTTTTGTGGGTTATCAATAGAACCATTCCTTATAAAGCCTCTTGAAAAGAATCATATTTATGTATTATAATAACAGACAAAACATTAAACTTTGTCTTTGACACAAATGGTTCCATTTAATGTGGTTGTCCAGTTTTTACTGTTTTTCTTTCTACCACATCTATCTTTGTGAGCAAAACTCTGCATTCCACACTAACTACAGAGGCTCAAGACTTTTCAGACACAGAATAAACAAGCTGTCTATCATTCTTATATTTAAAAAAAAATAAACAGGTGGGCTTATATGGTACATGAGCTTTATAGGGTCTCTTCAACTGTATAAAGAACTATCTGTTCACTTCTCCCTGCTTTCACATTACACAAATATATATGCTTTTATATATAACGGTACAGAACTCTATTTTTTCCAGAACATTTGACATTAATGGTGATTTTTTAAAATATTTTTGTAGTGCTGTGTAACATCAAAATTCCACTTTCATTTTCCATTTTCTGTGTAACATCATGCCAGTAGCTGCAAGGAAAATATTGGGTTCATAAAGAGAAACTAAAATATGGAACAGAACCATGTAAAAAAAAAAAAAAAACTCAAATCTAGGGCTGTCAATCAATGCTTTAATGAATAACTACATAAATTGCATACAGTATATCAATATTTGTTAAGAAAAGCCCCTAAAAGAAGATAATTAATTCAATGACATTACATTTTTGTGAGTAAATCACTGAATAGGCATTATAAAAACACTGGGTCAGTGATGAAATGCTTATATTTTTAATAGATAAATATACTAAATTAATGTGTTAAATAGGCAGCCCTAAATAAACGATTAAATAAACGCATCAAACAGGACACAATCGGAGTTCTGTTTTCCACTTTATTTCTGTAAGATCAGTTCAATCCATTTTAACCATTCAATCCTTTAATGTCAAAATTTCTGTCATAATACATATAGCAGGTATTCATAAGCTATATTTGCTGCCAGAGTGATGCTTTGAAATGCAAATGAGCTTGAGATCGGCACAAACAGACACCAACGCCTCGACCTCTCTCACCCTGGACCAGCAGTGATAAAGCTTAAACGCTCTGAAGCAATACAATACCATTGTAAAGCTACTTTTTGCAATGGAAATACAAAAATGCTTTTGTCTTCTCCAGATGTTAACTGATGGACTGGAGTGGTGTGGCTTACTAGTGGATTACAACCTGATGGATGAATTCTCTTCAGAGTTCTTCAGAGTTCAGAGCTCTCTCTCTCTGCGCGCGCGTGTGTGTATGAGAGACTGAGTGAGTGAAACATAATGCACGGTGCCGACCGTATTTATGTGAATACACACCAGTGCAGGTATTTTGACACTCCGTGTTTTTACCGTTTTAGGTGCGCCACTGAAGACAAATCTACTATGCTTGTCCGTGTTCCACTCGGACCTCGTGCGCAGAAAACATCCAGTCAGAAGCGGATTAGTGGATTATTGTGATGTTGTAATATGGAGGATGCTCTTGAAGGATATACATGACATTTCAGGCACCTTTAAGTTTTGAATGTTGTGAAGATGTGTAAACATGTTGGACAGACTAGATCAGGGGTCGGGAACCTTTTTTGACTAAAGAGCCATTTTTTTTTATTTTTGGTTAATGCATTTTTCCGAAAGAGCCAAAAACCAGTGCAGGTATTTTGACACTCCGTGTTTTTACCGTTTTAGGTGCGCCACTGAAGACAAATCTACTATGCTTGTCCGTGTTCCACTCGGACCTCGTGCGCAGAAAACATCCAGTCAGAAGCGGATTGACTTCTGTTTCGCGGCTTTGAGTTTTTAATACTGTCTGTCTTTTTAATATCAAGAATGTCCCGCTCTTTACTGTCTCATTCATTCACGTTCCTTTATTAATAACGCTAACAGTCCCACCCGCAGAAAGCTGTGCGGAAAAATCGAATGTAACCGGCAAAATGTTTCAAAGTATAAAACATATAAAACAAAGTATATGTTTCAGTCCTGTCACTTTTTTTTGTTTGTTTTTTTACATACTTTTACACATTTTCAGCTGTTCAAAAAATCTTTCTTTTCGCTATTACCACAAAGCTACGAATCTGAGTGCAGGAGCTGTACGTTACCATAGAAACTAGATCAACCAAGATTGAACAGATGTGATGGATTGTGTATCTAATAAATATACAACAACGTTTTCTATAAGTCATTTCATGTTCAATACTGTTAAAAACACACAAAATAATAAAGAACGTATAAAAAAAATTTTGCTCAGTGAAAGAACTGTTGTCAATGCATTTAACATTTTTTGACAAAAAAA